AATGTATTTTTCTGGAGTGACTCTTCAATAGTCTTGGCTTGGCCTTGTTGTATGAAAACGTTTGTTGCTAATCGAGTTGCGGTGGTTCAAGAAATGACGGAGGTGCGACAGTGGCATCACGTCCCATCTAAACAGAACCCTGCGGATCTCATTCAAGAGGTGTTGATCCAGCCAAACTTCAACTGTGTGAACTGTGGTGGTGTGGTACCTCACTTCTCCTTCAACCTGTGATGACTAAGTGCCAAGATGATATCCCTGAGGAGTCCGAAGAACTGTATCTTTGCAAATTAAAACCAGCAGTAATAAGTGAAATATGTGCACTTATTAACACTTATGAGCCATTAAATGTCATCAATAATTGTTCATCTTACAACAAATTGCTAAGAGTAGTGGCTTGGTGCAAGAGATTCTTGCATAACACCAGGCATCTATTGAATGCTACACGTGGACCATTGACAACCAATGAACTTTCTAGTGCGTTATTGTGTATTGTGAAAAACGTTCAAAGGACTTCATTTGTGACAGAAATCCAGTGCTTAGAAAAGGGTGCTCCTATTCCTAATAATAGTAAACTATTGAATTTGTGTCCATTTTTAGATCATGATGGAGTACTCAGAGTGGGTGGCAGACTGAAAAACAGTGACTTAAGTGAAATGAGAAAACATCCTATGATTCTGCCAATCAAACATAATTTTACTGTTATTGTGATTAAAAAATTTTCATGTTCTTTATTTTTATGCAGGTGCTGAAACAATCCTATCACTTATAAGGAATAAATTTTGGATTTTTTTCTGCAAGAAATGTAATTAGAAAAATTATACTTAATTATATGACTTGTAAAAAGGTAAATTCTAGGTCTGTGCAGCAACAGATGAATGATGTACCAGCTGTGAAAGTGACCATATCAAGAGTTTTTGCTAGAACAGGACTCCATTTCTGTCGTCCATTTATGGTAAAAAATTTTGTAGGTAGAAGTAAACAGGTAAAAAAAGTATTCGTATGTATTTTTGTATGTTTCACTATGAAGGCCTTGCACTTTGAAATTGTAAATGATTTAACAAGTGCAGCATTTATAGCAACACGTTTTATTGCCAGGCGAGGTAAACCCTCAGATATTTTCAGTGATAATGGCAGAAATTTTATAGGTAGAGAATTAAGAGCAATTTTAAAATCTTTATTTAAGGATAAAAGTGAGGAAGAAATCAAAGGTTATTTGGCTACTGAAGGCATAAATTGGCATCTTAATCCTCTCTCTACTCCTCACTTTGGAGGTTTATGGAAAGCTGATGTCAAATCCCTTAAATATCACTTGAAACATATGGTGGGAAAAACAGTTCTAACTTATGAAGAATTTTTTACTCTAATTGTTCAAATTGAATCTGTACTTAATTCTCGCCTCTTTATCCCACATCAAACGATTCAAATGATGTAGAGGCATTGACACCTGCTCACTTTTTTATTGGTTCATCTTTAATTGCATTGCCTGAACCTAATTTTACAGAGATTCCTATAAATCGGATAAACTAGATGGCAAATGGTTTAGAAATTAAAATCAAAAATTTTTGGAAAAAATGGTCATCTGAATATTTAAACAAAACTTTTAAATAGACCTAAATGGTATAAAGGAAAAGTAGAAATGAAGGAAGGAGATTTAGTTTTAGTAAAAGATTCAGATAATTACTCTCCTTTTAAAGTGGCATTTAGCACGAATTATTAAAAACCCATCCAGGTCAAGATAATATTATTCAAGTTGTGACACTTAAAGATAAAAATGGAAAACCTATAAAATGCCAATGACAAAAATTGTACCTTTGCCTTTTGTTAATGAAAAAGTTTGTTACTTAAATTTTATTTGTAGTTAATTATTGAGTTTGTATAATTGTATACCATCATTATTATTATCTTGGAGTGTTGTGTTTGTATTTTATAACTTGTGTTTTAAATTTATTGTTGAACGTAACATTCAAGGCCGGGCTGGATGTTGACGCCAGAGGCACCATCTGTGAAAAATATGCAATATTTGTATTCTAAAACGATGACGCTGATGTTTTTATAGCACCACCTGGCGGCCACTTGTATTGAGTTTGAGTGTGTTCTGAGATGCTGCCGAGAGATGTGAAGTAACTATGCGGCTTTTTGAGTAATTAATAAATTTTAGTATACAGTCCATTTTTGAGTTTTTGTGTAAAGTGATTTATTTAATTATGAGTTTTACTGAGCTATTGACGAGCCCATATAATAAAATATATTATGATTGTCTACAAAATTGAGTATGTTTATGGACTCTGGCTTTTAAGTGCATTATGCCTGATCATGTCATGAATTGTAAAATTTAAAATATTGCTTATTACAAGTCATTTTCATAATGACAATATAAATACTTGCTTGATACTCTCTCTTGATTGAAAAATAATCTGCATTTGAAGATATCCTTCTCTGGATAATGGCATGATGACAAAAAAGAACAAAAGCAAAGTATGGCTGGTGGCAAATTTGAATGAGAAAGGGATGTAAATATTTGTGTTAGCTTTATTAATGTAGGGATTATATAGGAAAGTACTTTGAAGGGATGAGAACATATTAAAAATAAATATTTTTTCACTTTGGTTTTTTAGATTGATAGAATGTTGACGGATTTTATCTCTCTTAAATATATAGGGTCAAGGCATACTAATGTGACCACTTCTTACATTTGATACCCATGTTAAATAACCACTGACAATTAAGGGATGCACCAGCAGAATATTTGTTGGCTACAAAATGTGATTTGTATCATATGTACAAACTTATGAGAGAGCTACCCTATTCAAATTTTAATCAGGATCAGGTTGGAAATGGAATCATAACACAATAAAGGAAGTTGGTAAGGAATTAATAAAATGTCTGCATGGAAAAATCATCATTTGGCCATTGCCTACAGGTGTAGAAAGATGGAAAGTTTCAAAAATGCGGTGCTAACAGATGAACATCTAAGCATACTGAGACTGTTACGAGAAAGTTATTGTGTGGCCTTACTGGATTCTGAACCACTGGATGTTTGCATCACTGCATCAAAGATTATGTGAAATGGGTTCTTCTGAGTGACGTGCTATGAATTGCAGAATATGGCATGGGCCCCTGAAATCAAAGCAAGATTTGTCATGAAGAACACATTCCAAGTGCTTAGCACACAAGCAATCACTACTTGCTTTGGTCTTTTCCAAACAACAATCTGGAGGATTCTGAACTTGAGCTACATATCTAGAACCATGAGCAGTGTGTACATACAGCTACTGCAGCTTGATGATTACCTACAGAAAACTGCTTTTGTTTACTGTTATTTACAGAAGAGTAAGGCAGAACCTATTTTTTCACTTCCACCTATTCACAAATGAGGCATACTTCGCCAGGGAAGGTTGCTACAAAAACATGAGCAGCACAGCACTGATTTGCTTTAAGCTTTTAATCCTGTACTGAGGGAGATCACTTAAACCCATATTTTCTGCTGGTTTATTTAGACAGATAATGTTATAAGATTTTTTTTATCATCTGACTGGACCAAAACATCCACAATTTCATGTGGCACATGTCAGGCTTGTGTTGTAGCTGGTTGCTAAACCTTTGAAAACCTTCTGTAATCTCTCTTAATATAGTAACTGTTATATATTTTCAGAAATAAAATAATGTTTTTATGCATTATGTGTTGTTTTTTCATTCCTCGAGTTCTCTGCAAAATTACACATGATGATAGCATTTCTGACCCTGCATTGCTATTTTATTCCAATTTGTCTTTAACCTACCTATTTTAGAAGTTTGTAGTAGCTAATCATCCTATACAAAGTGTTACAAAGTGCCTTCAGGAAATAGTTGTTTTATAAATGAGGAAATGAGGTGATTTATCAGACTTTCAAAAAGGATGATTATTGGTTTTTGGGTCAATTTCAGAAACTTCACAGTTTATGAACTACTCATATGCTGCTATGATAAAAGTGTACCATGAATGGCAAATACCATGAAAATACCATGAAAGAGGTGGTAGCAGATATGCATTCCATCCTTTTTCTGCCAAGAGATCAACATGCCACACTAATGTACTAAAAAAATGATTCAAGGGATTGTGCCCAAAATTGCAATTGTGTCCAAAATGACAGTTCAGTGAACCTTGCTGAATATGGGCTTCTGTAGCAAATGGATATTAGCACCTATGTTAATAACTGTTTAACAGCATGGCAGCTGGAATTTGCATGGCAGTACCAATGTAGATCTTTATGGATTTGCAAAAGGTCACCTTCTATAATGAATCACATCATTTGTTTTATCAGATGGATGGATGTTGGCACATATGGTAAGAAAAATCGAAGAACAAACACTCCCCAACTATCTGCAGACAAACTGTACAAGCCTTCAAAAGTTACATTATCATCTGGGGAATGTTTTAATTGCATTCTCTGAAACTACTAACCATTGTGAATGGCACTATAGATCACATTAAGAATGAATCAATTCTTACAAACAAAGTATTCCCCCCACACACCCACACAGATTTTTGTTCCCTGTGAATGATGTCACCTTCCAGCATGACAATTTAACAAGGTCACACAGCTAGGATTGTACAGAAGTAGTTGGAAGATCACAAGGAATACTTGCATTTAGATGGCTCAAAATTCCTCAGACTTAAAACCAACCAAGATCACCTTGATGGGGTTGTTTGTTCCATGGATCCTTCACCACATATCCTACAGCAGATATCAACTGCACTGCAGTTAGCATGGTTCCATATCTCTGTGAATACCTGTCAGCACCTTTCTAACCACTCCTAGTCTGTCTAGCTGATGCCCAAATTGCACATCATGCTTATTCTGCATATTAGCAGGTGGTCGCATTAATGTGACTTGACTGTCTGCATTATCTGGGTATGTTGTGTGTACACATCTTCACAAAAACATTCAACATCTTTTTCATTAATATTACTGAAATAGTACAAAATAAATACAAAAGTGGTTTTATGATTTCATACTTACAAATCCATCAAATGCTTTAAATTTTCTATAGATACTCAATACAGGATGTTCCCAGTTTATGCAGCCAAGTTCAGGTTTTATTTTGCGAGCTATTGGTAAAGAGAAAGTAAATTGAAATTAATTTAACAAGAGAGGTCAACTGAATTAATTTTAATCATAAAATATAAAATAATGGATTTCTTTATACACATTACACTCAAATGCGTTTCGTATTGACCTTTATCTTGTATTGTATGTTCCAAAGACTAGTACTAAATAGTCAGTTATCTAAAAACAAATTTTATGCATTCCAGTTCACATATAATATCTAGCCACTGCCTTGTATCAATGGTTTTGCAAATATTTAGTCAGACATAGTTTAGCTTGAAATATAAAAAACAAAATCCACCTTTCAGTGACTAATAAATACTTTACTGTGTTTGCTTTTTATAACATATGAATGGACAGGAGAAGAAATATAAATATTATTCAAAATTATCATTCTTTGAATTGAATGCTGACTGAAAAGCTTATTCCAATAAAGATAAGTGTTATCAACATATCAAACACATGTTGAATGCAGCCGTTTCCCCTTCCAAGCTTCCATCAAAAAGTCAATTACAAAATTTTTCTCTCCTAAGGCATATGGTCATTATAATACATGGTCATTTGCACATTTTGCCACAAATAATTAATCATAATCAGTTGAACATTTTGTCATAATTGACAGAGGTTGACTACAGAAGAAAGTTAGTGTATTTCCTGCTGCAGCTGACTTTAGCTTATTTAATATTTAAATAGCAGGCAGAGAAAGAAATAAATTTAACTTGTTTAAATTTAACATCATAAAATTTAACTTGTTTGATCAATTTTCTCTCTCTCTCTCTCTCTTTTTTTTTTTTTGTTTTTTTTGTTATTTTTTTGTATGTGCATTTCTAAGAATACACAGAACATATAGAGAGTACTACATTTTAAATTTAATTATGCTGCGCTTGTCTATTTTTCATTAGAATTATCAGTTCTTTACAAAATATTACTCTAAATAAACTAAACATTATTATCATTATATAAAAATACATCAATTAATAAAATACAAACATACCATAAGTGACACCTTCCGATGGCTGAGGGTAACTTAATTCTAAATAATGTGGCAAATTTTCCAAAGTTTTCAAGACCTGTAATATTAGTAAGCACTTTTAGTTCTGAATATGATATAAAGGAAACATAATACAGAAATTTACTGCCACTTATATTATTATGATGATAATAACTAAACAAATGTATTTTATAAAATGTGACAAAAACATGCATTCTAACAAGAATTTTAGACCTTTCCTTTATTTCATACTAAACTTAAATTTTAAAATTACTGTCTGAGAATCCTTAAAATCCAAAAAACTAGATAGACTGTCTCAAGCAGTTCACATTTTTGGACTTGTACTGTATATTCAAATCTATTGTTTTTTATTAATAGTTTAAATTCTAAGGCAAGCTATCCATTAGTCTAAATTTTGATTTGGTATGTTTCTGTTAAGCTCCTGCCATACTTTTTGGCACCTAAAAAGTACCTATAAAGTAGGAGCCAAACACATGCCCCAACAATAGCACCATCTGGAGAATGTGTGCATGGATGTACATGTGTAAGTAAAAATAATTAAATACACAATAACAACCCCAAAATACATGGCAGATGCATAACAGAAAAGCAATTTGATTCAAATGAAATAGATATAAAAACTATGCACTAACATTTCTGTGCCATGAAATTCTACAGAAAGAAATTCTTTTTAAATGACGTTTTTTTTAAAAATAATATCAGAACTAAAACTTAATTACTAAACCATTTCTGATGAAATTTTGATTTAATAATATTTAATAATACATATACAGCATGATTGAAAACATTAACAATCTAAAATATTAGAATGAGTGCATGTTACATTTTATTTTTAAAAAATATACATTAAATGTTGTGAATTTTCATTTCTACACCACGAAATTTCATTGAAGAATGAAACTCTAATTAACTAAATCATTTGTTTTCCTTTTACGTCAAATAACACTAAGACTGCAATTTTGTACTTTTATTTAATTATTTAAATAAAACAAGACAATAATACAGTACTGTACCCATTTCTTAAGAATGTATTAAATTATTAACTTTAATGCCATTACATATAGTTAACCTATCACATTTAGTAGCAGCTATGAATTGTTCACAGAAATGTTATTTTTATTGCTTGCTGTCATTGTCTAAGCATAATAAATGCTCTTTTTCTACACATAGACTAATGAAACATGATAACATTATGCCAATTCCCTATCTTAACAAGAAATTTTGTTTTATAATATAAATCTCTTCATTCTTTCAAAACTTAAAAATAATAAAATAATTTTCAACTTTTTCTGAAATCCCAAAGCTGAAATAACCATCTATTCTATTTCATGAATTGGGTAATAACTCAATGAAATGAAAGCTTTTACAATGTATTTTATGATGATTATGATTAGTTTATGTATTTTATGGTGATTATATTATATGTTGTATTTTATGAAGGAAAATGATTTTTTGTGAATTATATGATTGTTATGATTTTAGTATTTTAGTATGCATTGCATTTTGTTTTACAGAAACCATATAAAAATCTTTGTTAAAATAAAATGTGAGAGAAACAAAATAAATTAATTAAAGTTCCTTCAATAAATATGTAAATACATATTTGGCCTATAAGAAAAAGGGCAATTCAATTATCCAGATGAATAACAGTTGCAGTTAACATGGACATTCAGAATTCTATACTATTTGTTACTCAATATTTGCACTGAATAGCGCATAAGCCTTTGTACTGAAATGTTGATTTATATTAAACCCAATATGCAAGGTATGGGGTAATTATGTCAAACATAGTTTTAAATGTACAAGAAACTAAGCATAGAAAATATATGAACATGTTTAGAAAATGAAAAGAACTAATAGCTCAAAAGTTCAATAAAACAGTTTAAATATTTCAACTTTTCACTGAACAAGTTATATATTAATATAAAAATAAAAGACTTAATTTTTAGCTTTTATATATATATATATATAGCATATCAAAATTGTTTTTAGAAAAACATTTTTTTTTTTTTTTTTTTTTTTTTTTTTTTTTTTTGTTTTAATTACATTGTTGACAAAAGCTTCAAGTGATTAGTACTAATCATATGTGTACTGAGGTGTACCATACGATTAGTACTGAGGTCTTGTAGAAATTTCATAAAGGTAAGCATGCTATTTATTTTAATTATTTTGAACTATAATTTAAAGGTTGCCCCAAAATATCTTAATTCAAACCATATAAAATATTGAAGAAAATGAGAAATACAATATAACACACTAGACCAGCAGTTCTTAATCTTTTGACTAATGCGTACCATCTAAAAAATTTGAAAAAACTAAGTATATTTCACTATATTCACAATGATTATTTTTCAATAGATATATTAAAAAATATATTTTGCCATTTGCACAACCTATTGGTTATCTGTATTAAATATGCACACCAAAAATATTAAATTAAAATTTAGCATTTAAATTATCAAAAATTAAGTTAAAATACTTTAATTACAAAATTTAGTGTGAAATTTGGGCCTGCTTAAGAGATACCAATTTCTTTATGTCTGCTCTCATTTCACTTGGTTTTTGACCACTTTTAATTTTGTTCTGTATTATTTTTCAAATACACCATGAAAGAAAAATCCTTGTTCACACAACCTAGTTGTGACCTAGTTTTGAAAACCTAGTTGAACAGGGCAATAAAATTTAAAACTTTATTTGAAATGCCTTTAAATTCTTGTTTCAATTTGAGCCAAAAGTTAATAAGTGTGTTATTTTTAAAATCTTCAATGACAGTTTGACCACAAGAAAATTTCTATCAAATGTTCTTTTTCTTTGCGAGACAAAATTTCAAGACAAAATTTCAGGTACATTGAAACAAAATGGATTCTAATCCAATTTTCTTTTCATAATTCCCCACAAAAATACATGTTGAAATTATTTATCAATGAAAAAAAATGATTTTTAATGTTGAATGCCAATTCTTCTTCTTTTATTTAAAAATTATTTTCGGTTAGAAAACTTTCTAGATGTGGTAAAAGCTTAAAATATTTCAATTCTTTGATTATTAGTTTAAGTTCTTTTAGCATTGCATTTATTTTATCTCTAATGGTAAACAAATTAATGCTTTGTTCTTGTAATCCTAAATCTAATTCATTTAACTTTCCAAAAATATCAGCTAAATATGCTAAACACGCCAACCATAATTCATTACATAAACATTTTTCCAATTCAAATTTTGAATCACAGAGGAAAGTTTGAATTTCTGATGGAAGTTCAAAACGATTTAAAACTTTGAATTTGGATAGACAACCACCCTACTTTGGAATGTAACAAAAGCATTTCATGTAATAAATTGCCCATTTCTTGGCATAATATCGTAAATATTCTTGAATTTAAAGCTTGGCTTTTAATAAAAATTAACAATTTTCACAGCTTGATTAAAAACAATTTTCAGGTTTTTGGGGAATGTTACTAAAGCTTCAGTATGAATGGAGCAGTGTGTAAATTTAGTTTAATGTGCAACTTTCTTTATTTGAGAAATAACAGCAGAATGTTTTCTTGTTAAAGCCTAAGCTCCGTCACTGCATACGGCAAAAAACTTATTCCAAGGAATATCAATCTCTGACATAAAATTGTCAGTTATTCTTTTCTGAAAATTCCATTTGCATTTGCCTAATCATGAAGAGATTCACAAAATTAGTGTATTCACAAATTAGTATATTCTTCAACAATTAGTTTATCTTCTTTGAAACGCATGTACATTAATAATTGAACAAAATTCATTATATCAGTACTTTCATCCTATTGTAATGCGAAATATTCACTGTGTTTAATTTTTGGAATTAGTGTCTCTTTTATGGAATTTGCCGTTTTATAAATTTGTCGACCTACTCTATCATTTGATAATGGAATATTATTAAGCTCATTATCCACTTTTTCGTTCAATAACGTCAAAATGATATCTTTAGCTGCTAGTAATATAAGATTTTCTCCAACAGTGTGAGCCTGCTCAGACGTTGCAATTCTTAGGTTTTCTAAGTAACTAGTTTCCAAACTTTTTTTCTCTTGAAGTAACAAAAACCTTTCATTACGTGTATATTATTTTTGAACTCCGATAAATTTCTCTTAAAATATTCTTCAGATTTATCCTTTAAACTGACATGTTTAGATTCAGGATGTTGGGGTATTTAATTTTTGTATTTAATAGTTATAAATACTTTGTTTCTTTGCATACTACCAATTTTTTCTTGCGTACCACCGGTTGAGAACCCCTGCACTAGACTATACAAACAACAGAAAAAATATGGATTGGAACTAAATGCTTAAGCATTCTGAAGGAAAGACTAGAGAACATTATGCTAATTAAAAAAGTAACATACTAGTTTTGCAGCTATTTTGCTAAGTTCATCAGTTAGAAGTTTTGATGAACATTCTTCAGGTACATCAAATTTTTCCTGCATTATTATCTTTCCAATATCAAACCTATAAGAAACAGGATTAGTTATTGAATATTTTTTCCATGAAGAACAAATAGAAATAAATGCTATACAGGGAAAAAAAAAAAAAAAAAAGAATACACTTCATCATTTTACTTATTTATTTATTTTCCAAATTTCTTTATACTTAAATAAAGCAAATGAAAATAAGAATATTCTGAATAAGTTAACAGAAGTAATTTCTACATTTAAGCAATGGTGAAACCTGAACATAAATTTTAAAATACAGACAAGCAAAATGCAAAAATACTTATAAAATTAATAATAGACAATTAATCATCAAATATAAAAGCACATTAGGATCATTAAGCAAAAAATTCGCAATAACACTCAAATGTAATAATGCTCAAATAAAAAAGTTCTCTACAGTAAAAAAAATTGGAATCCTTAAAATTATAGTACTATGGATTAAACTGCAGATAATGATAGTATTAATCAGTAGATAACTGTTTTTAGACAAGAATAAATAACATAAGAAAGCATGTCAGTTTAAATTCTGAAATGAAATAAAATTCGATTAAATAAATTTTTGATCTGGGGGGAAGGGATAGAGCTGCATGCATTTTGAGAGATTCTCTCAAAACCTGAGTCAGATTTTATCTCTTTCCTTCACAGAGCAAAGTTGTCAGACCCATTAATTTCACCATCTTCAGTTAACAACATAGCGTTAATTATTGACAACTCAAAATCGATGGTATTGGCAAAACAGCATCAAAATTCAATTTATTTTAATCGGCGATTTGACAATTTGTAAAAATATTAATTTAAATGGTATTTGACTCAATCCTCACCTCCCGACATTATCTCTCGTGTACTTTCCTAGGACTGCAGCCCCCAAAAATATATATATATTTGACTCAATCCTCACCTCAGGACATTATGCTCGTGTACTTTCCTAGGACTGCAGCCCCCAAATTAATATATATATTTGACTCAATCATCACCTCCAGGACATTATTGTCGTGTACTTTCCTAGGACTGCAGCCCCAAATTAATATATATATATTAAGTCCTGGAGGTGGGGATTGAGTCAAATACCATTTAAATTAATATTTACAAATTGTCAAATCGCTGATTAAAATAAATTGATTTTGATGCTGTTTGCCATACCATCGATTTTGAGTTGTCAATAATTACGCTATGTTAATCATTGAGTATATATATATATACTCAATGATTAATAAAATTAAGAACTTACATATGACAAATGGTATAAAAAGTACATACATATGACAAATACTTACAATGAATTTAAAATATTTATCCTGGTATCGCGAGAGTTCGGCCACTCCTGATTTTCACCGCCCGCGTACTTTTATGAGCTGCACCCCCGCTAGGAACGGCTCTGGACCGCAATAAACTACAAATAATCTTATCAGAAATAATCGGTTTCATAGAGATCTCAAACTGGATGACCTTATTACCTATATATAAACAAACTTAACAGTAATTTTTACGCCAAGGCAATTTAACGTGAAGAGGTTAAATATGCAGATAATTTCAATATGATGAACTGATCGACATGGGCATCAATCTACAGACATATACTACTCTTGTTCTCGGGAATATTGCTCAGAAAAGATAACCCTTCACAAATTAACGACACTAGTTTTTACATTCATCTCATCTCTCTCTAATTTACATTCTGCATTGTATTCATCCTATCTTCTATCTGACGGAACCAACTTCTCCCAACTCCGAAACGCAATACAACATCTCTGGACGCAGGTATTTCTGATTCGCCGATTTACACCATGTGATAACACAACACTTTTGATCCATCTATTTGAATCATATGAGGCTAAAACTTACGTTCGCTTTTGCAAGACTCATCTTGCTACAATTCCAAGACTATAGTTTCCCTTTGTTTTTAAATTTTCGGACTTTCCTCCTGGAAAGTTTCTCGAGGTTATTAATGTAAGGTAACCCCACCCGGGAACATCTGAGGTGCTGAAAACAGCATGACATCTTTCATTCTAAAGCCAGCAAACAGAAAGTATCAAAGTATCAACACACTGCTCTTCACTACGGATGTTAACGTTTCCAAACTGGCCTCCTGGATTCTCGCATTTTCTAGATTAAACATTTCGGAGATGAAATGTTTAATCTAGAAAATTCTGCAGTTCCTCTCCAAGGTCTTACCTTAGCCAGATACAACCAACACAACGCTGAAAAAATGAAGCATACTGATTCTCTTTCAAAATGCTACATTTGTTCCTAACGAAGATGCTGCAAATTCGCACCCACTGCTATAACGAGTGTCACTACCAGTGTAAATGTTCCCAGTATTACTTTTAAACTTAAGACCAAGCACACAACACAGACTGATGCAGAGGATTTTTAAAGAAAAGTGCATTACAAATAAACATAAATTCTCAATCACCGATTATGAGGAAACCCCTCAATAACAAGTTTAATGATCTAAATCCAGATGATAATAATGGAACAAGATAGTGTCTTTGACGAAAGTGTATAAGTCGCTCCAAGAAAAACTTCTCGCCATATCCCGACGATCATCATTTCCAATTTTAATCTCGACTGGGAGAGTATGATACTACAATTGAAAGTGGAAGGTGTCAGGGAAATCCTAGAAAATTTGAAAGCAGATTCTCTGAAAAAAAAAAAGATGACAACAACGACTAATTATTAAAACTCGTACAATTACGAAAATCTTTTAAGAAGGAGGAAATCCTTTCCATAACTTTAAATTGAATTCGGCTGAACTAAGAAGCTTCTACATAATTGCAACATTGAACTAATTCAGCATGAACTTTTCGATCTGGGAATTTCAGTTTTAAAAATACAACAGCTCCGCAGATACAACGATGTGCTGGGGGGGGGGAGAACGACTTTTGAATTTGTTATCCCTTGAAATGGTGCATAATGCGTATAATCAAGACTCAAATTCAGAAGGAGATCGGTTGAGCTGCTTCTTAGTTTCTGAGTGAAATTGCAGGTCCAGCTGAAACCCCAAATAACACGAGGCCCGAAAATTAATTCTTTATTTAACTACTGAGAATTAATAATTTATTAGATTTCTCCTTATTTCTTTGCTTTTAATTAAAATTTAATCATTCAATTAATTTTTAGTTATTTTATTTATTTATTTTTTCTTTTGTTCCTCACAGTCATCCCCATGGCTCTGACACTTGCACCCTGTTTTTCATACAGACTTTTCTTCTTCCTGTTACTGCTGCAGTTTTCTAGTCCACATCGACCCACATATGGTGACGCCTATACACGAACTATGAAAATACTATCATCCTTTGCTAGGTTTTGTTTACCAAGTACTTGTCATCTCCATCTCTGGATGTACTACTGTAAGATAGCACTTCACCTCCCCTAAACGCCTGTGAGTGCCTTCTAAGGACATTTTCATGATGCTAGTAAAAACTTCTAAGAAGTTAAGGTTAGAAGAATGAAACAGTTCCAAGTGCCCACCGCCTGCTGCAGCTTGAATAAATCACGTCTCTCGCTTCGCCTGCTTTCTTTATTATCTGAAATGTGAGCTATGTATATCGAAATGATGGGGCGCGTTTAGAACCCATAATGTTGTACCAGTTTTAAGCAAAAATGTATTTCTGAATAATTATTTCTGCGCAAAATAAAAAAAAAAATGATGTTTTAACCATCAAGCCAGTTGTCATCTACACAACACTCTTTTCGGCCATGACTAAACAGAGAACTGATTTCATCTTCTTCCACAAAAATTCCATCCATCCCCCAACACACTGAAGTATCACTGAATTATAACTTAGCACTTATTATTATTATTATTATTATTATTAGAATTATTATTTCCGTAATCTGCTCTAAGGCACTATACAGAAGGGAGGTATGCCTTCGTTGAGGACTTTCTAAGGGGAACTGGTTTGTATTAACATGTTACACATGAGGAAAACCTCGAAAACGCACATGCAGCCAGCCCAACTTCCCAGCCCAGGCTTCGAACCTCAGACCAAACTACCAGCGTTAAGGGACATTACCGCTCAGCCGCTGGTAGGTTGCCACTGAATTAGGGACACATATGGCTATGCAAATTTTGTAGCACTGCGCCGCATTTATGCTCAGGTGAGTGCATAGTGGTAAGTGCATATATAGCTAGTACTACGGTTGTTGTTAATCAGTCGTTTCAATTGCCAGTATGGGTAAAGCTTCTGATTTAGACACCTTCAATCGTGGACAGATAGTAAACGCTCGACACATGGACATTCAATTTTCGAAATCGGCAGAGGGCTAGGATTTTCAAGGTCAACAATGTCAAGAGTATATCAAGAATACACTGATGGCGGGAGAAAAACTAGAGATCGGGCAATTGCAAAGATGAGCGTGATGTGAGACAGCACTATACATAGCCAGCGAAGCCAAATTAACTCAAATTACCACCCAGCTGAATCACGTGTAAAGTTTCACATACCCAGCTGAAATCATATAGTCAGTAACTCTCTGCCAGTCATATAGTCAGTAAATGGATCGTGCAACGCTCACTTCACCATACACGCTTAGACCCATGAGAGTACCAATGCTCAATGCATACCACCAAGCTGCCCAGGCAAGATGTGCAGCTATTCTCGCTCTTTCAAATGCTTTCAAATTTTTAATAGCTTTACGTTTCATTACTATTTTACACATCACATCATGTAACATTCTTTCCCTTACAAAATGGTTTGGCTCCTCCCACTAATGAAATTTCCTTTTCCTGTCACGAAAAATCTGAATAATGCAATAAAAATTATGTTATTCTTGAATTTACTTTCAATGAACATATGGTGGTGAGGTTAGTTTACAAATTCTTTTTATTTGTATTAAAACAATTTAAAAGTGATTTTAAGACAAGCAAAGGTAGAAATTATTGTGACCTATATTGCAGTTCATGCCACTCTGAGATAGAAATCTGTACATTTTTGACAATCCTTGCTTAAAATATTGCTTCGGTAAGTTTAGCCCTAACTATGCAAATTTTATTAGAAGTAAATATCTTTAAGG